GGCAGGTAGGTCGAGGCCCCGTAGCACACCTTGTTATTCAGCAATGGACCCAAGCAGGGCATACCATAGCTCCCACATCCGGACAGGACCTAGCTTCCACCACATTGAATGCAGTGACGGTGTTGGCATATGATAACGCCCCTGCTGAGGCGGGACCATCTGGAAGAACTGACAACAATAAGAAGAAAAAGAGGCCAAACAGACCCTTGGCAGGAGCAAGGTTTTGTACATTCCATCAACTATACGGACATGACACCAGCGAGTGTCGTGATGCCAATCGGCGCCCTGATCGAAGCAACCCTCACACTTCCAGTAGAAACGAACACCCTCGCAGATCCATCTCCTCGAGGAGGGGAGTGAGAGGTCACCAGGAGCAATCTTCTCGTAGAAGAGAATCGAGGAACCGAGGCCAATCCAGGCAGGGGAACCAAGCCCAATTTTCAGCAGGCTAGGTCATCAGGGAAATCGATACCATCATTGGGGGACCCCACGTCGGTGGCAACACTAGGAATGCCCAGAGAAATTATACAAGAGAAGCTAAGGATCCCCCGATGATCACTTACATTATTGATGAATCGAAATCTGCAAATAAGATGGCCCCAATCACCTTCTCCCAGGAAGACTCAGAGGGAGTTCACCACCCCCATTGCGATGCTTTGGTTGTATGAGCCGTAGTAGCTAGAAACGGATTGAAACGCATGCTCGTTGACAATGGCAGTTCTGTGAACATATTGTTCAGCTCCACTTTTGACAAAATGCAAATTGAATATGGGTTGATCCCCATGACCGACCCACTGTTCGGATTCACTGGGGACAGCATCATCCCACGAGGGTGGATCACCCTGCCTGTGGAAATGGGTTCGGCACCCCTAGTCGCCTAGCATTTCATGGAATTTCTGGTGGTAGATCATAGATCGACTTATCATGGAGTATTGGGCAGACCTGCTCTGAAAAATCTTTGGGCTGTGACGTCCATTCACTATTTGTGCATGAAATTCCCAACCGAACATGGGATTGCAACAGTCAGGGGTGATCAGATGGGCTCCAGGGCATGCTACCTCAACTCGCTGCGCAAATTCGAGCCCCGAACTGTTAATGTAATCCTAGCCGAGGTACCCGCTGAAGTCAGTACGGACGTGAAAATGCTCGACGCCCCTGAACAAGGGCATACCTATGAACAAGAGGGAGACGTCGACATGGAAGAGGCCCCTGAACAAGGACACCCTCTTGATGAGTTAGACCCCCGAATAATCAATTATGAACCAAATGCAACCCCCATGGAAGAACTGGAAACTTTCCCCGTCAACCCGGAAGACCCCAATCAAGTCTTGTGCATAGGGAAGTCATTATCACCTGAAGCAAAAACTGAGATGATACGATTCCTGAAAGGAAACCTGGATGTCTTCGCATGGAAACATGAAGATATGGTGGGAATAGATCCTAGGATCAGTTGCCATCACCTCAACATCAACCCCTCCTATGCCCCCCATAGATAGAAGAGGCGCGCCCTGAACCCGGAACGGTACGAGGCACTGAAAGACGAAATAAGTAAACTTAGCCACAGTGGTTTCATCAGAGAGGCCATATATTCGAGGTGGAAATCCAACCCGATTCTGATAAAAAAGTCCAGCGGGAAGTGGAGGGTATGTGTGGACTTCACAAACCTAAATAAGGCGTGTCCCAAGTACAGCTTCCCACTTCCGAGAATTGATCAACTTGTGGACTCCATTGCTGGGCATGAACTACTGAGTTTCATGGATGCATACTCAAGGTACAACCAGATACCCATGTTCCGACCTGATGAGGAAGCTACATCATTCATTACGGACAGGGGCCTGTATTGCTACAAAGTTATGCCCTATGGATTGAAAAATGCCGGGGCTACATACCAGAGATTAGTCAACATGATATTTGCCGAACTCATTGGCAAAACCATGGAGGTCTACGTAGACGACATGTTGGTCAAAAGCCTCCAGGCAACCGAACACGTGAGTCACATTGACCAAACCTTCTAGATACTCAGAGAGTATAATATGAAATTGAATCCCCTCAAGTGCACTTTCGGAGTGGCATCAGGCCAGTGCTTGGGATATATTGTAAATCAGAGAGGAATTGAGGCAAATTCGATAAAGGTAACGGCCTTACTAGAAATGAGGTCACCTTAGAAACCGAAGGAGGTCCAAAGTCTCAATGGTCGGATAGCCGCACTCAGCCGCTTCATCTCCAGAGCCACTGATAAAAGTTTGCCTTTCTTCAATGTATTGAAGCAAGGAAAGAAATTCCAATGGACTTCGGAGTGCTAAGAAGCCTTCGAGTCTCTGAAGAAGCGTCTCGGGAAAGCACCCCTCTTGTCGAAACCTCAATCGGATGAATCTCTGTTACTGTATCTAGCAGTTTCGGACGTGGCAGTCAGCGCAGTCCTAATCAGGGAAGAAAATGAGCGTCAATTGCCAGTGTACTACATCAGCAAAGCACTTCTCCCAGCTGAAACACGCTACCCAGACATGAAAAAATTGGCACTCGCACTTATCACAGCCTCAAGAAAGTTGAGGCCATATATCCAAGCCCACTCAATACAAGTCCTCACCAATTTCCCTTTAAAGCAGGTAATGCAGAAAACAGACGAGTCAGGACGCCTGCTGAAATGGGCCATCGAGCTCAGCGAGTTTGATCTCACGTTCCGACCTAGACACGCCATCAAGGGCTAGACCCTTGTCGATTTTATGGTTGAGTTTACCAAAGCCCCAGAAATGGAGGCTATAATGGAACCAGCTGAGCCCCCCACATGGAAATTATTTGTAGATGGGTCCTCAGGAGAGGCTGGCGCGGGAGCAGGGATCGTGTTGGAGAGTCCAGAAGGCCATATGCTAAATTGTGCGGTAAGATTCGGCTTCAACTTCGAACAACGCAGCTGAATACGAGGCCCTTCTGGCAGGTCTAAGGCTCGCTAAGGAAATGCGGGTCAGGAAGCTCCTAGCAAGCAGTGATTCTCAGCTCATAGTAAATCAGGTAAATGGGAATTTCGCAGCCAAAGATGGTAACATGCTTGCGTACTTGAAGTTGGTTCTGAACATAATTCCCCATTTCGAAAGGTTCAAACTGAATCAAGTCCCCCGTCTAGAAAATGCACATGCAGATGCCCTCTCAAAATTAGCCAGCAGCATGGACTCAGAGCTGCTAAATATCGTCCCCATTGAGCACTTATCAAAGCCTTCCACCTCCGAAGGCGAAGAGGTACTGTGGATAGAAGGCACCCCATTATGGATGCAGCCCATAATCGCGTACCTGAAGGAACAAACACTGCCTGCTTCCAGAGGCGAAGCGAGGAAATTAAGGAGAAGGACTGCACACTTCGTCCTTCAAGAAGACACCCTTTACAAGAGAGGCTTCGCTTCACCCCTTCTTCGATGTGTAGGCGGCGAAGAGGCCACATACATACTCAGAGAAATACATGAAGGGATCTTTGGAAATCACTCCGGAAGAACGGCTCTGGCACACAAGGTTCTCCGTCAAGGCTACTTCTGGCCAACCCTGAAAAGGGATGCTTGCCAATTTGTTTAGAAATGTGACAAGTGCCAGCGCTTCTCTAACGTACAAAGACAGCCTGCTCAGAGCCTCTCTGTAGTACCAGCCCTTGGCCATTCGCCAAGTGGGAGATCGACTTCATTGGTCCACTCCCAAAAGGGAGAGGAAGCGCAACTTTCGCCATTGTCGCCATTGAGTACTCCACTAAGTGGGTTGAGGCAGAACCCCTTGCCCAAATTACCGAGGCTAATACTACTAAGTTCGTTTGGAAAAACATCATTTGTAGATTCGGCATCCCCCACTCTATAGTCTCTGATAACGGGCGGCAGTTCGACAATAGGAAGATGCGAGACTTGTGCGACGAATTGGGCATAAAGAAGGATTTCTCGACACCTCATCACCCCCAGGCGAATGGGCAAGTTGAAGCAGTGAACAAGACTGGCAAGCACACCCTGAAAAGGAAACTAGATGCCTCAAAAGGGGCCTGGGTTGACGAACTCCTCCACGTCCTCTAGGCTATCAGGATGACTTGCCGGACTACAACCGGTGAAACCCCATTTTCCATGACCTACGGAGCCGAGGCAATGAGTCCGGTCGAAATTGGGGTCCCATCACATCGACGGATACATTTCAATGAGATCAGCAATGACGAGGCCCGAATAAGCGAACTGCACCTTCTCCAGGAAAAGAGAGATACCTCCCAAATGACCCTAGCAAAATATCATCGAAAGATGACCCGCTTTTACAACTCCAAGGTCAAAAACAGAACTCTCCCCTTGGGCGACCTCGTCCTCAGAAGAGTTTTCCAATCTTCAAAACCAACCGGGTCAGGAGTTTTCGGCCTGAACTGGGAAGGCCCTTACCGCATTCGAGGGAAATCCCGACCTGGTACCTTCGAAATCGAAGATATGTCAGGAAGGACACTGCCTCATAAGTGGAACATCGAACACTTGAGGAAGTACTACCAGTGATAAGACTGTGTTCCGATCTAATCTTAATGTGTCATAGCGAATCGATTGTCCCGATCTGATCTCAGTTGTAAAGTTCCCTAAGTGGTGGAATCGCCTTTGTAAAGGGTGGTGTAATTTATCTTAGTAATGAATTTTCAGTTCAAGCCACATCACTTAGTGAATAGTTTCCTCAGCGCTTCAGAAGGTTCATTTAAGCGATCCGATCATCAATTATTAGTTGATTAACGTATTTCCCTAATTGGTCTGATCTTAGATTATTAATAAGTTGGCATTAGGAACAGCTTCATACTCGCTTAAGTGTTTAAACTTATGTTAACTTAAGCAATCCGGTTCACAGTTATTAACTGGTCATTGTCGTGAGGCAAGTAGTCTAACGTTTGTCGTTCATACAAGTATAAAACAAAGAAAATACAAAGAAGTAGAAGCCCAAATACTTAACAAAAATTTCTCATCTCATTTCATTAATTTAAGTACATTGGGGGCCAAAGCCATTACAAGACAACCCTAGTTTGTTGGAGGGACTTCAGCACTGGCCGCCTCTTGGGCCTCCGGAGCCTCCTCGACAACCTTATTAGGCCGACCTCCAGTTGGCCCCCCAAACTCTACCTCCAGTGGAGAGATGTCCAGAGTGGGATGTACCTCCTTCAGTCGACCCAGTAAGCTTTGGGCACTCCATGAGCCCCAGAAGTTGGCGAAGTCGTCATACAGGGGATGGTCTTAAAAGTGGTCAATAAAGTTCTGGACTGCCACCTCCCCCGCAGACTTCAATTCCTCCTTCAAAGAGGCAATCTCCTCTGACTGGGCCTCTATCTGCTGCCTCAGCTCTGCCTTTTCTCTGTTGGAAGCCTCCACAGCATTGGTGGTGAGCTTGTGGTGCTCATTGGCGTGATCAAAGTCGCCGAGTCACAGCAGCCACTTGGTATTCCACCTCATAGAGCTCTTTCTTCAGCCGTTCCACCTCTGCTTGCGCAACAGTAAGCTGGGCCTCAGTAGCTTTCTTCCCCTCCTCTGCCTTTGTGGCTTTGGCCTGGGCCGCCGGCACAGCATCTCCATAATGCATCGCCTCCTCGAGGTGCTTGGCGAGGTCCTCCCTCTTAGAGTTCAGATCCTTCACCAAGCCCTCGAGCTGGATGCTTGTGCTTAGGGCCCGAGCCACATAGGCGCTGTTCGCCGCCACCAAGTCTTCAGCTGTGTAGGAGGCGGGGACAGGCGGTGTGGTCCCTCCACTCTTCTGTCCAATATTTGTTGTGGACCATCGCCACCGCAGTTATTTCGGGAAGAAGAGCCTCCAACACCTCCCTTACGGGCTCCTCAGGATTGGTGCCTAGGAAATCAACCTCCTTAGAGGGATGGGCCCTTTTTCTCCTCTGCTGCCCCGAAACTTGATCAATGGGCACTGCAGTAAGGGGTGCTATGTCCGGGACAGCGACAGGCTCAGTTGGAGCGGGGCTTATCTCCGGGAGGGCCACCCCCGTGGGAATAGTTGTCTGCCTCAAAACTGGGGGTGGTCTCGTCACAGTTAGGCGTCTGGGAGGGACGGCACTTTTCTTGCCCTTCCTTCGGAGATCAGCCTCCGGGTCCTCTTGAACGTCCTCCTCCGTCGGAGGCTGGAGCCTCTTATTGGCCTCCACCAACTCCTCCATTTGCTTTTTATACGAGGAGGAGGAGGCCTTCAGTGCCCGTACCTCAGCCATCATTTTCTGGATGGTCTTGAAGTCGGGGCACACTGACAGCTTCTTGTTAAAGTTATCTGCAAAGAAACAAATAAGGACTTAGTACAAGTCTAGGGAGTTCGGAATAAAAAGTAAGGACTTCGGTCCTATTACCTTGAGACGCCATTAAATCGTGAGTAATGAAATGGATGTTCTTCTGGATCAGCCTGTGGTAGGACCTCTTCTTCTGAGGTAGCTGATAAATGACACAGATAGTGTCGAAGTCCTCCGTTGATAGCTCGCACCGAGGAAGAGAACCTACAAAAGAAACATAACTGTTAGACACAAGTCGAATCGAAGAGAAAATAAAACTAAGTGTTGAAAACTTCGTTGGAACTGTAAGAGGCGCCAGGGGGTCCCCCTCCATTGTGTCTCATCGTCCTGCTGCCCAGCACCATAAGCTCTTCCATTCCTTGGTGGAGCTCGGCAGATCGACCATGAATGGAGTATGGAAACCCCATGACGTAAGGTAGTACCAACCCCGGGTCTTATCCCCCCCGACAGTAACCTTGGGAATATAGAGGGTCTGAAAAACGGAAAGGGGCATCTCCACCCCTAATGACGCCTCTTTTCACAACATCCAGGAGCCCACCATCTGGCTCCAGGAGTTCGGATTGAGCTGCGTCAGGGCTAGCCCATAGGACCTAAGCACCAACCTAAAGAATGGGTGGATAGGCAGCCTAAGTCCGGCCCTAAGGATCACCTCACTAATGGCCACACGGCCCAGCCTTGGGTAACAGGCTCTCTCTTCCGGTCCGGGGAGGATTAAGTCTACGCTGTCAGGGATCCTATACTCTGTCCTAAGTCTACCCAGGTCGGCCTCCCTGAATTTTGCTGGGTAGTCCGACGCCCCCCAATGCACAGAGGTATCTGGTGGGCTATCTGGTCATTTCCATATGTTCTCCCCTCCATTATTGCCCCAGCTATTTCTGAGGAGGTCACCACAATGGGCTCGTCCACCCTCACTATTTCTAAGCCCCTCCCCGAACCAGAACTCCCATCCGAGGCCATTCTTTAAAAATTTAAAAGCCTAAATAGGTGCTGAAACTTACGGGTTTGGAGGTTTTCCTAGTCGAAAATGGTGTAAGGTCGTCGGAAGCCTAGTTTTTCTCGCTGGAAGTCTAGTTCTTTCTCGCCGAAATTGCTTGCAAAACGTCGAAAATCGCCAAAAATTTGAGAGCAAAGTATAATGTTAGTTTTGCAAAGGTAGAAAGTCTGAGAAAACCCCAGAGTCCTCCTTTTATAGAAAAAACAAGTTCGATCTCCACCGTTGAATTCAAATGCGATCAATCTAAGCCGCTCGTCGCATCCTCAATCTAGGCCATTGAAATGAAACGCCAGATTTGATCTACGCCCAAGATGTCGCTGTGACTTTCACGCTAACTTGAAACGCGTCACCTCGATTACAACCAGCCGTCAATAATAATTAGTAGCCGCAGCAGCCTTTTAGGAGAATGGGCATGGCACCCAACTGTCACCTTGAAAACACGTAACAGTTGTCAAATCATTTGACGTTTGGGTCGCCTCGGATTGAGCTCCTCCTCCAACTTTACAAAGCTTGGACGCACCTGATGCGAAGGCCCTATTGGGTCATCGTCTCGGACGCTGCGTTCCTTCCCATGCTTTACAAAATTTCAGCCATCTCCCCACACGTCGACCTTTTGGGTCAGCACACCGGTGGCAGATGAGCTCCTCCTCCAACTTTACAAAGCTTGGACGCACCTGACGCGAAGCCCTATTAGGTCATCGTCTCGGACGCTGCGTTCCCTCCCATGCTTTACAAAGTTTCAGCCATCTCCCAACGCGTCGACCTTTTGGGTCAGCGCATCGGTGACAGATGAGCTCCTCCTCCAACTTTACAAAGCTTGGACGCGCCTGACGCGAAGGCCCTATTAGGTCATCGCCTCGGACGCCGCGTTCCCTCCCATGCTTTACAAAGTTTTAGCCATTCGCGAAGTTTCGGTGCACCTTACGCGACGTCCCATGCTGCTTGACCGCCTTGAACGTTACGCACAATAACGAAGCTTTGGCACGTCTGCCTATTATCATAACCTCGATTGCTGCGACGGATCAACCCCCAAAACTCCCATGACTTGCGGTCCGGTCAGGAAAGCAAATCCACGCATGATATAAATATTCATCCCCGGACTTGGGGGACCACTGTTACGCCCCGATTATTTACGCCTCGATACTGAAGTGTCATCTCACCTCCGAGGCCGAGATCAAGTGGACCCTCCGCAGCACCATTTATTCCGACCTGAAAACGACCCTTCTGAAGCTTCTCCGGAGTGATATAGCGATTGCTACTACTAATTTGCTGAAGCATCTCACCTCCGAGGTCGAGATCAAGTGGACCTCGGTTAGAAGATCCGTCGCCAATTTGAGATTTGTCCTACACCTAAGGCTTAAATTGATTTGACGTCTCCATGAGGCTATTTGATGTGACTTATCAACTTTACGTCAATTCAACTCGGAGGAAACAAACTGTCCGCCCACTCTACAAACGCGGCTGATTGACGCCTATGAGCAGACGCTTCATACCGTCAGATGTATACACGCGTTCCACATCCAACGGTTCATACCACCTATAAATACCCAAGGTTTAGTAAGAGGCAAAGGTAATGAAATTCTTAATACACAGCACTCCATAACAAGTTTATATATTCTCCTCCCCCTTTATTGATTGATTTGTGTAGCCCCTGGGTACTGTTCCGACCACCCAAATCTGACTTGTTCGTCAGAGTGTATACGGTCGTCACCACCCCAGTTGGTTCCGGCCGTGTGCGCCTGACCATTTGTTGATTGCGCAGGGAGGAATACGTGGAGTAGCTCTCAGTTGGCCACGTGGAGGAACCAATTTCCGAGGTCAACAGGTTTTATTGTAGTCAATTCCGTGTTGTTGATGATAACCTTCGCAATGATTTGCGCTTTATAGAGCTCAATACTACCATCAGCACGACATTTGATTTTGAATATCCATTGGCAACAAATAATATTGGCATTTGGGACTAGAGGAAGTAAATCCCATGTCTGATTCTTCAATAACGCATCAAATTTCAAATTCATAGCCACATACCAACGACTATGTTTGGCTGCCTCTGTATCATAGGTAGGTTTAGTGTGGTCTTCAGTAACAGCGACAAGGAGAACTTTGGGTGGAGGATACGCAATAGAACCATCACTTGCAATTTTGGGTTTCGATGTTGCTTTTAGTAGGGGTGAACATGGGTTAGGTTAGGCTGGGTTGGGTTGATTTTTTTCCAACTCAACATGATCGATTTGATTGAAAATTAACCCAACCCAAATAGATCAAAGTTGGTCGGTTTGGGCTTCGCCCCAATTAAATTTGGATTCGATTTATTTGTTAAATTTGGATAATTTTTTAGAGTTTGAAATTAATTGATAACCTCCGTTTTATAAACACATAGATAAGGAATTCTTTCTAAAAATAATGTATAAATAAGTTTAAAATTTATGAAGTATTTTCTTTTTTACAATTTTTTTTTTGAAGTTCATTCATTTCATCATCATATCTTTAATTTTTAATTTATCATCAAATAACATTGTATTTGTACATAGTGTTCATGTGAATTGGTCTATGTGAAGAAAATGGATGTTTATAAATTACAAGTCATTATCTTATCTTTACTGTTGTGTCTACTTAAAATTTTTCCCATCTTAGATATTAATTTTTTAATTATTAGATTGGGTTGGGTTTTAATTCATAACCCAAGACCCAACCCAATCTCAAATTCAATTTTCCAACCCAATTGAACTTAAAAAATCGACCGACACCGATTGATTTGGTTTGGGTTGGTCAAGTTGAGCAGTTTGGATTGGGTTTTGCCCAAGCTAAGTTTTTAGACCGAGTTGTCGTGGCATGAGTATTCTGTTGGTTGTTGGATGAAATGGTAGAGCTCTGAATATGTTCCATCATAGTGGGGTTCAGAGGTGCTTTAGGTGCAGTTGATGACGCGCCCTTATTATGTACAGGATCTGATAATGATGGTGCTGAACCCATAGGCAAGTGTGGTTCTGGAGGAGATTGTAGCCTATAAAGATGTACGTTTTTTTTACCGAAAATCAATTTTGTGTTTATTAAAGGAACGAAGGTAAGGTCAACAAGCACAACCAAAGACTTTGATGAATT